TTGAGACCTGGTACGTACGAAGTTGCTTGCTATGCGATCTGGACGCACACCATGAATCGTCTCGGACGGTTCTCAAATACAATGGAACAGCAAGCCGAATAAGCGAGCCGCATACAGGCGTGCTTTGGTGATCTCGACTATACGATGCTGAGGCAGATATGTCGGAGCAGTCGTTTGACCGGCAAAATCAAGGATGCATCGGGCATGAATAGTCCGCTGGCGAAGGCTTGCACATATCTCCTACCGGATGGCACCACTGCTGCAGTATCAGATGATGAGACGGACTTGTACTTGAAGTTGCTCAAGCAGACCCAGTAATGGGTGACTTGCTTGTAACAGTCACATTACTCTCGGAGTCTCGGGTGGGAGCCTAAGGTCCGAATATGGACGGAAAGTCACCTATCGGGTCATATGGCATGCTTCGCTTTGTAAAACTGAGCGTCCGAGGGTTTTTCATATTATAAATGCAGACTGCGTGACCCATTGTCACGACCATGACGCAATCGTGACAGATTTACTTCCTGACCCACTGATGGTCGCCGTGAAAGGACATAGTGTCCTTTTTCCTGCCGTCCGGAAAAAGGACACCTGCTTTGCCCGCCGTGCCACGGACGCCTCCGTGCCACAGCGTCTGCGCTTCCCTCATCACCGCTGCATCCTCCTCCAGCCTGTCATGATTTCCTCCAGCACTGGTCGTACCTCCGTCAGAAATACCTTGCAAGAGTTTATGTAGGTAGCACCGTCCGCGCTCGCAGGCTAGATCAGCATAGTAAGCCGGCGACACTAGCGACACAGCTTTCGTAGCGCGAGCAAACATGTAGGACACTTCATTCGTCAGTCCTTGCAGTTGATCAGCGCTGAATCCAATCTCGTCATATACGACGTAGTAGTGCGTAGGGCGCGTTGTCCCTTGCAGACCTCCGTGCGCCTAAATCATATTGTCAGTGGCACTTACAGGAGGGAAGCCCTATCACTGACCTGCAGGAAGAAATCGAAGTCGTACACAGCCGTGACGCCTTGGTCGACGACGGTACCTGGTACAGGGTTGCCTTTATCGTCGGCGTTCTCTGCCTCAGTCGGGTAGAATCGCGTATGGTGTCGCTTCCCGCATATTACGATTGTGAGTTTCGGCTTGTATGGATTTTGGGGAGTGCTGAGTTTCTTGAACGCTTCTTTGATTTTCGGCAATTCATCGTTGACCACGATGGCAAACTGCCCCTGTAGACCGTCCGAAGCATCAGTGATGGAGACAACCGATACGAAGGTGAGGTCAGGAGATCATCTAACCTCAGAGACGCCGTCTCTATATACAAGGACACGCGACGGAAGTCTGTTGTTCCGTTTCTTGAACGACTCCAGACGTTCCGTCATCATGGATTCCAGGTCAGTGATCATCTATGGGGACGAAGTCAACTGAGGCGACATGTTCGATTGGGTCAGATACGTACTTCCTTCCGAGATTCCTGTATGCGTAAGCTGCACGGGAACTGACCAAACATCGACTCTACGCTTGCTACGACGGCTGCGATGGAAGGTGTGCCTAACACAGACCCAAAGCCAGGATGCGTTACATCCATACCGACGAGCATCGTTGGTTCCTGCTTTAAGAACCTCATCCCGGTTTCCGAATTAACAGTATGATTTACCCCGCCCAACTTCATGTTGACCTTGAGAGCCACATTTGCGTAGTATTGCAGCTGAGCCTTCCTGAACTTAGAAGACTGGACACAGACGGTTGCTACGTCAAGGTAGACATCGCAGAGATGCTTCAATCCAGAGTAGATGTGTTTGTCGCCGTTGGATAGAACAATAAGCACAATGGTAGGTTTAACCTTCAGACTCCTAAGAACAGTCTGTATAGTCTTAATTGCTTGAGGTCGAAGTGGCGTATCGCTATTCTTCGGAGGAAGCTGAGCCGCCGCGTACACAGGTGGCTGATTCTCGACCACCATGCCGCTTTTGCGACACATATCAGCGAATCCGTCCACAACGCTACGAAGGTCGGGATCGTTCACATCACGGAACTCGTCGCGATGATTTCCGTCTTTAATCAAGAGGACGGCCCACTTCTCCAGCTTTGCGCCTCGAGCGAACTTGACATTTCTTAAGTTCCAACTGGCTCGCTGGTCGACCGAGGGTCTCCCTTGTCCATATTCGATATATGGCGGAGGCAATATCCTACCGGGGACGACTGCCATTTCGTTGCCTATGCTCACTCCAAATGTGCTCAGGGGAGCTGGTGTCTGGGCAAATCCAAGCTCATTAAGGCCACGACCGACAATCGACTGTGCATTGATGTTCGGGGGCTTGCATGCGGCAAGTATCATATTCGCCGTATGTTCATCGGTGAGCTTTCCCCTGAATGGTTGGTTCGGGAGGATCGTGCAGAGTTCGGCGGGCAAGTAGTTCTTACGTTTGGATTGTGGACCACCCACGTCCACCAACGGAAGGTCATTCGCATGCCGTAGTGTTATTGCGTATTCTGTTGGATCACTAAGCACGAAAGAATACATAATAAGGTGCAAATAACCTTACTTCTCTGGTAATAGACTTCGCAAGTAACATTCCCGCCGAGCTCCGGGCAGTCAAAAGTGTATTGCCTAGCCGTGAACCTCGCCACGCCTCGAACGCTCTTTGTATAGCCTAAGTGAGTGGTCTTGATTCGCACACCCTTGACAAAGGCTGTCACGCGGGCCCCCCAAGACGCGTTCTGGTATTCAATCATCTTGTCTGCGAGATTACCCGCCGTATAGAAAGCAGTATGACAGACGTTCACGTTCACCATTAGCTGCTTGAACGCAGGTCGCACGGACGAGTAGAAGCCTTTCCAAGCCTCTAATCCGCCGCCAAGTGGAAGAGGTGGCTCTGTAGCGGACGGATGAAAATATCTATTCCGTCCTACCATCACTCCGCCACCTACGGATCGATTCGGATAGGCGGCAAGAATGAGGTTGAGGGCTGAGATGACGGGCATTGGATCGTAGTTTCGGAATTGCCGTTCGCCATTGATATAACTTCAGTCACGCGGCATTAGCTTTGCCTGCCACACAACATATACACGCGTACCTAACCAAGTTGCTGGTATCGATTTGTTGCACATAGTTGAAAGTAAGAGTGTATTCCTTTCCTGGGCCCCGGGCGGCGTCCTCGTCCTCTTCGGTGTAGTTAACCTGGATAACCAAAGGCTGAGGTAATTGTCTCGCCGAAATCAACTTCGAACTGTGGTCGTGAGCGACAGTGCCAGTCATCCCGGCTGCTTGCCATTGCGCCGTCTGCTCCGCCAGTTGCCAGATCCGGCGTTTCAGACGGCGAGCAATGGAATTCCCCCCAGGACGGAGGTCCACATCATACTCCTGCAGAGGGATCTTGGGCAGCCTAACGGGAAAGAAGTTTGCGCGCAGGGTGATCTGCCTGCCAACCGTACCGAGGCCCGGTCGCACAGGAAGATCCCCTGGGCCAAGAGCGATACTTCGAAGAGAATTAATATGCGTCTGTTGCACGTTGCCTTGCAGTCGCGCGTCAATCGGCGCCGGGCCACCAAAGATACTGGAAGACGAACATGAGTAAGACTATAAGATGACAGAACAAGGATATCTACCCGCCGCGTTCGGAAGGCCCTCCTCTTCCTCGGAATCCTCCTCTGCCACCGCGGTCTCCTCTGAATCCTCGATCCCCTCCTCTGCCACCGCGGTCGCCGTATCCTCTTTCTCCTCCTCTGCCACCACGATCACCATACCCCCTGCCTCCGCCTCGGTCGTAAGAGCCAGTGCTCGGAGGGCCACCGCGGTATCCTCCTCGACCTCTCACTTCGGAAGTCTGGCTGCTTCTGTCGCTTGGAGCTCCGCCTCTACTCCCACCTCTGCCACCGGCCCGCCCTCGTCCACGGTCACCTCTAGAAGACATTGTCTATGGTGTGGCCTAGTGAGTGATACTCGGGGCGAGTCTTGGTGGAAGACTGTCAACAAACATAGGCACAGCAAGCGCCGCGTGCAGAAGGCGCGAGCCCGGCATTTATTATTCTGTCGGGTACAGAACGGCTGGCTATTTAGCGCTCTATTCTGAATACAAACGTTGTGGGAGTGCCACGGAGTTCGGAATGCAGTGTTGAGCGCCAATGACAACAAGCTTCATCAACCTTCATGACTGTCGTAGAAAGTCGAAGAGTGCCATCTCCGAATCCTAGAACAAGGCCAGGCAAGACCTCGCGAGAAAGGGGAGCAACTGACGAGGGTGTTGCTGAATGTGAGTCAACTCGTTCATACTGTAACTTAGGAGAAACTCAACTATGCAAAGTTAGTGCGGAGCGCGAATAAATCCAATCGGGCATCTAATTATAAAAACTCGTCTATTTTCAGAAAGGGCCTTCTTACCGGCCGCGGGTGAGTTCGTGGCGCGACGGGCTAAAGATCGAGAAGTGGACGTTCAAAGCGCGATGACGGCTGTAAATCAAGCCCGTCACTTTCGATTACCGTCTGTCACCCCTTCATATTTTCAAACCATTAAATTAAAACAGATTGGAATTGCACGCATGTGCAACACTAAGATTGTCCGTATAGGGAGCGAATGCTTGCGATTAATGGCAACAACAAAAATCGAGTCCTGGGTTTCCAAGCCTTATCCACTAGGTAACTTCTCCATAAAGTTCCATTAGTTGGTAGCACCCGTGATGATGACGGGAGCCTCGACGCCACCGACGGAATAGTAGGGGCTGCCGTCAGTACCGTTGGATGCGAAGGTCACGTCCATGATGACTACGTAGCTGGCGTCCCCGAAGTAGTACGCGTGAGGGATCTGTCAAAGCCGTCCGACTCGGTTACTCAGTAGTGGAAGGCGCGGGGAAGCTCTTACCTGAACGGAGAACGAGTCCGACGTAGCACCCGCAGCAGGCTCACGGCGAGCGAGCAGGATAGGAGGCTCGTGGCCGTTGTTTCCCTGGGGCACTTCGATGTAGTAATCGGTGTACTTGGGGATGTGTCCGTAGTGCTGGACTGCACAGGTGAAGTCCGCGCTGATCTGGACGTTCTGTCGGCGAGAACAGGACCATCAGCAAGATACAGTACGGCAGTGGTCTTTGCACTAACATCACCCGCTGCGAAGGTCGTAGGAGAGACGGCGACACCACCGAATCTGTCAGCCTCAGAGCACTGCAGCGTAGGGGTGGCGCTCGCGATGGCGAGGAGAGATGAAACAATAGCAGCGGTGAAGAACTTCATGATGGAATCGTAGATTAGCGGAGGAGAAATAGACTGGAATGAGGGCTGGAGAGAGAGAATATGAGTGGCGGGATGCAGTCTAACTCTAGTTGTCTGCCATTTTCAGCCGTTTGCAGTTCGATGGGCCCATTTCTTGAAAATTATTTACAGTCGGACCATGTCGGAGAGGGGAATTCAAGTCCCCAAGGCCCCAACATCAGACCATTTGGACTCCTTTTAATTCCTGGGACGTCCCTGGCACCATGTCCGACAAACTCCGACTATATGTGACTTTCTGAAGTGATGGCCTAACGATCTGCAAACGGCTGTTATATAGTTCTGCGGAGGCCGTACCCAACTTCAGACGGACTGTGGTCACCGTGTGCACTCTCAGCAACCAGTGCTGCAAGCCTTTGCCGAGCCTCGAGGTTTAAAGTTGGTGAGTCAAGCCGCACGCACCTACGTTGAGTCCGACATTCTTTCTTGATGATCGCAGATCAGGCAATAACGGCCACCAGGGCTAGGTTAAATGCAAGCTCGCAAGCTGACCCCGACCCCTATTCGGATATGCAGCCAGGGCGTCATCTGCTCACGCAAGTAGACCTGCCTTGATCGATATTAAATATTTTTCGCCCTTCGGTGTTGCCTACCGTCAAGGGGATCACTGGCCCGGCGTGCGAAGTCGACTGTAACTTGCACAGCCGGTGCAATGATTGGCGAAGGAGCATCTGCAAGGCAATCTTAGAAGCTACCCTTCCATAATCGGATGCACGTGTCAGAGCGTCCTCTCCCCGGCCCAAAAGAGAGGAAATTCGGTCTGCCTACGGAGACCAAACGAACACGGAGGCCTTGTCAGTCCAGAACTCGTCGACTAGAGCTTACCGGCATGTAGCACGCCCGGGCCCTATCGATTATCTGTCACACGAACAGCACTGTGTAACACGTACCCATCGACCGCGAAGAGAGATTTCTCCGCAGAACCATCCTCAGAGGAGGGAGTCGCGGCTCCCACCCCAAAACAAGCTTCAAGTCCGAGCGGAAGCCTGTGCCAATTCAGAGTATGGCTCATTTCCCTCCGCGGGTAACGTACAAGCAAATCGATTACCAAGTCCTGCATGTGGTCTGGGGAAGGGAGGGGGTTCACAACCACACGCAACCTAATCCACCCTTTACACAGGGTATTGATTACTACCTCTGCAGCACGGCATCAGCGTTCTCTCCGAACGCGCAAAATTTGGTTCTGCACAATGAGCAGTAGCGCGTACAGCGTCTCAATCCGCTAGATCCAACGTGAGCCGCCGTAAATATCCTCACGATGGTCACTTACCGGAACATCGACGCCTTTCTCCTGTGCCATCCTCACGACCTCTCCAACGATCGCCTCGACCTCAAGCGGCTTGCCTTGTTCGATATCAAGGAGCATACTCGCCTTGTGCTTGTTGTCCGGCATCATATGCAGCCTCTTTGTGTTCGCGATCGTGCTCTCCACCAAAGACGCGGGCAGCGCCTCCTCGTCCCAGCCCATGGCGCGCCCTTCAAGGTCAAAACCTCGATGTTCAGCCTACTCCCGGCTACACCTAGGTATGCTCACGCACCCACAGCCAGCGCCTCCTTCAGCACTGCGTATAGATTCGGGACTACGTGCTTCTCAACCAAGTCCGCCGTGACGTCCGCGACGTATGGTGCGGGAATTGTCCCCTCTACGTTCTGCCTGCGGAAAATCGCGGTGACGGGTGATCGCGTTAGGGTAGTGTAGGAGCAGAAGAGGAGGTTCCAGAAGTTCTTGTGGAACTTGACACGCTGAATCTCTGGTACGGCTGACACAACTCCCCCTCCAGCGCTGATGAGGCTGCCGAAGTCGTCCAGAAGGGACTGTTCAGCGAGCGTGTTGGCCGTCGTGGTGGTGTCACCGGGCCGATAGACGCCTACAGCCAGTCTATCCTAATTGATGTGCCAGCATGGTCAAAATTATGAAGCCAGGCACGAAAGAGCAAGGGAAAGTGCGTACGAAGTCGTTGTGCTGGACGACGTTCTCTGCAATGAGATTCGTGCCTATCCATACCGCTGAGCTAAGAATCCGCGGCTTTTCAGTGTCTTTGGTCACGGTCTTAAGGGCCGAGTACAAGTCTTTCTCGACGTTCAACCCGTTTTGCAAAAGCACGTAAGTGGGCTGGGGATAGGTCTCGGTGTAAGGCGGGAGCAGGAGCGGTTTCAAGATTTCGGGCGTGGGAGAGACTTCTGGGACATACTTTGAGCAGACGACTACGTAGGAGTATTGCCTGTCGAGCGCGTCCGAGATGGATTTGCATACTGAAATATTGGCACAAGTGAATTCTGCATACAGAAAAGAAATTGGAGGAATGCGCACGTCTGTCCGGCCTCCAACTGGGGATGTCGCCGTACTTTCCGCTCTTGATGTGCATACCCTCTCCTACAAGCAAACTGTGAGACGGAAGTCAATTCGCTAAAAACATGGCTCACGTTCAATAGTGCTGTAGTTACTTCTCGCCACCACTGTAACACGAGCCTTTCCGCTCCTCTTCAATATCAAAGAGTCTGCACGAGGATATAGCTGAGATGAAAGACATACTTGCTTCGCACTTACATATCGCACCGACAGCACCAAATCCGACAAGCAGAACATCTTTGAGTTCTGCAGTGGTTTCCATGCTCACGAAACGTTTGGGATGAAAAGTCGAAAAACGTGGAGAAGCACGTTTAAAGAGGCCGAAAGGGGGTCGCGAGATGATGTTCACTGCGAGTATCGTTAGTACACCCTACTTGATCGTGCTCACAAAAGCAGATTCTAATTATAAGTTGATCCTTTTATGCATACCAATACAGAGTCTTGGACGAAGAGAGTTCAACATGTACATCTTCGAGCGGAATGCACCATACATACGTACCTGGATCACTTAGTGTATTTAGCTTCATCATACACGCCATCCAGCTAACCGTGCGTACCAGCTCAAACTACCAATGAAAAGTCCCCCCAACCTCCTTGCCTGGGTGTTCTATCCCTTGAAGATTGCGGACGCAGGCCGTCTGTTACAGCGTTCAAAGCCTGAGTACTGAGTGCGTTATCGCACTGGCGACCGGAAAAGCGGGCCGGCTCAAGGGATTGTCGTGGTTTCCCAATGCGGTACTGCATGAGTCGGAATTCTATGCCGCCGTGAGGAACGAGCAGAGGCATAGAATATAGACTTTGTATGAATGTGAGCGTTACGCAGGTCACAGTGACAGCTCCTGCTTTCGACGGCGACGACGCGCTCACTCAAGCGCGCTATATGGGCTCCACATAGGCTACCTTTTGCTTTTCTGGGCTCCAGCTTATGGATAATTCGCCTGGAGTACTGTTCACTGTGCTGGCTTACCCAAAAAATGCGTCACCTGCGCCCCTAATCTTGGGGAGTTCGGGTACCGACTTGAGCAATACAAGCGAGAGCAGAAGCAGCAGGCGAGCTGGAGTAGAGCGGTGGATGCGCCTTCAAAGATGCTGCTCCCCGAACCGCGTCGCTGGCGCTCCTAGTCTTTGGGAGTTTCGGGTTCGCCCAGTGGCAGCTCCGGGAAAACTGCAGCACCAAGGATGTCACCCGTTTGCACCAAGGTCAGTCCTTGTACCACCTCTGTTACTCATCTGTTCCCCATGGATAGAGGAGCATCGATGCACCTCTGCGTGCGCTCTCCTATGCTTGCAGCTATGCCCATCCCCATTTTGGGCACTGCACCTCACACCGCCCCGCACCTTGCACCTCACTGCACCTTGCACCATGCACCTCTCGCCTCACATCGCACTGCACATTGGCCACTGCACCGCACCCACAGCACCCACACCGCACTGCACTGCACTGCACCGCACCGCACCGCACCTTGCACCTCGCGCCGCACCTTGCACCACGCCCCTCGCCCCTCGCGCCACACCCCGCACCTTGCACCTGCACCCCGCACCTCACCTCGTGCCTTGCACCTCACCTTGCGCCACAACTCAGGGTGCACCTTGCGCGGCGCCTCGCCTCACACCC